GTAGGTGCTACAGTTCTCACCATATTTTTCCCTTCATTCCTCGTTATCGTTAGTTGGAAAAGAAAATGCACAACACTTATCAGCCTTGGTGACCTTGATGAGAAACGATCTTTTGTTGCAATGCAGAAGGCATTGACCTACTAGAAAACTACACATTATCAATAGCAAAAATAGTAATTACCGATTTAGACGTTTAGTCCCGTAAGCCATTCCGCAAAATTTAGTGTCCACGTCCGATGATGAGGAACGTCTTATGATGGATGTGTTCCGTGGTTACAATTCGCTTATTCAAGTGAGCTGTTTTTTTCTTCATATGGATAGGAAATCGATTTCAACCGCTATTAATCGATATTCATTGCAGCCAATCAAGAACATCAGTGATACACCTATTACTGTAAAAATTGCCTTGCAACTTGTTCTACTCATTAATGTTGTAAGTGCGCTGTTACGTGTTTTTATTCGAAGCTTTTCTAAGCTACAATGGGCAGTCAGTTTTATCGTGAAAACCAATCAAACCCATGAATATCGATTCATAGCTTTGCTTTCCAGGTGAAAGCAAAGTAGTTTCGTTGATATGTGTCATAGTTATGCTCTTGGTTCTTCCCTAGCATATATAGAAATGCAGAAAGCACAATGGTTATGGGTATCGCACAGCAAATGCATCGTTTCTGGTTTAACCTCAAAGCGGTCGAACCAATACTTGCATCCATCTTGGTTGGTAGACTAACACCAGTCTTACTTGGAAAGTTTTCTTCCCATCCATAAAGGCTTGTTGTTGCTAGTGGTGAAGTTGCGCGACAGTAGAACAATCTCAGCATTCCAAGGTGAATATATTCTACTAAAATTTAACTACATTCGTGAAGAAGGCAAAACCTTCAGGAAAAATCCAAAAACAAAAGGATGAAGCTATCGGCGTTGACCAATCCCTGAGGGTTGCGCCATACACTCGACTTCCTATCCTTCCAGACAAGACTAGTACCAAATTGTCGACCTCCGAGGGATGGAAGAGTTGGTGAGCCTTGTGCGCGGGAATCGAACTCGTGTGTATTGCAGGGCGCCTCCGACCCAATGCTCCACTTCCACCCCTGGCTTGGTGAGGGAGCCAACAAGATGAACGTCGTAGCTCCAAGTTTAGCAAGAGGGAGCAAGTCGCTTGGGAATCCTTCAAGAGCAGTGAGGGTTTAGTGAAAAGAAGAAAGAACACCAGACTCCGTGTTTATGTTTTCGACCGCGGGATTCTCCCCGATTCAGAAACCCAGTCTCTGCATAAGTGGATTAAAAGATTACTGGTGTTGTCTAGCACGCCGTCGAAACGACAATGCTACTCCTAGATCCCCTCTCGTATCATGCAAGAGAGAGAAGGTACCTGAAGCTTCCACCTACGTCAGTGACGAAAGACTGAACACGTTGTTCTACACTCAAAATTTTCGAAGACAAGGTGGGTCGGACATGTATGGAGAAAGATATGATGACGCTCAACGAATTTCCACAACGAAACGAACTCTGGGCTACTCTTGACTTCGACGTGTAGAGATGGATGATTAACTGGCTTCCCTCGAGACACCGGACCACTGGACGACATTTGATACTAACTTAGGGATTTCAATGGACTATTTTCGCAAAACGTCAAGAATTAAACACATGCAAGAGGAAATACCTTTCAACTGGTGTTCTGTTGCTGGCTCGAGATTCGCTTTCTCTGCACACTAGAGCATTCATGCTGGGATTGTCCTAGGTTTTGTCCACTTGCCCTCTTGTAGCCGCGTTTTTAGAAGGATTGAAGTAATTGGGAACACTGGTTTATCCCTAGCTAAGTATATGGATGGAAATCTCGAATCCTTTCTCATACTCTGTAGTGTTGTTCAATCACTCGTTGTTTTATGAAATTGCGATTACTTCATTTCTATACAAAATTTTCTATGAATTTGTTGGATCATAAACCACCGCATCGGACAATCAGTTGGTCTTAGATTGCTTCTAACTTTCCGGCTTACTGTAACGCAATGAACAATGACAAAAGAAGGGCGTGGCTGATTAAATTGTGGCAAACAGCGGTTTCCGTTCGGAACCATATCGCCCTAAATGATTTGAAAACATAGAGCAGCAATCCTTAATAATTTCAGGACGAGAAGGATCAAATAATGCACAC